TGTTCAAATGCGGAGTTTTGCGCATCGTGTGTGTGTGTGTGTGTGCGCGAGCGAGCGAGAGAGAAAGAGAGAGAGAGCGCGAGAGAGAGAGAGCGAGAGAGAGCGCGCGAGAGAGAGAGGGAGAGAGCACGAGAGAGAGAGAGCGCGTGAGAGAGAGAGGGAGAGAGAGCGCGAGAGAGAGAGAGCGCAAGAGACACCAAATACACAAAATAATGATCTTTAAAAAAGCATCATATGACCTCTTTAAAGTTATCCTACTGCATCAGGCTGTGACAAGTAAGAAATAGAAGCATCTACCTGTGTGTGATCTGTGTCCCCCGCAAACTTGACATGGTCTCTTCTAAATTCTGCCGCAGGTCAGCAATATTTTTGACAGTTCTCAGTCGTCTGGTCTCTGGATCTTCACCTGAAAATAGGGCATTCATTTTCACTTTTTATATCATATATCAGTATTTAAACACTGTTCAACAGTTTAGGGTAAGATTTTGTTTTTAAAAGAGTTATTAATGCTTTTATTCAGCAAGTATGCATTAAATGAATCATAAGTAACAGTTAAGGAGTTTCTAATGTTACAATAGATTTCTATTTCAAATAAATGCTCTTCTTTTGAACTTTCTATTCATCAAATAATCCTAACAAATGTTTTCAACATTGATTGATGGCTGCTGAAATTCAGCTTTACCATCACATGAATAGATTATTTATCTGTCTACAAACTTTTTACTGTTTCTGATCAAATAAATGCAGCCTAGGTGAGTATAAGAGACTTCTTTCAAAAACAAAACAAACAAACGAACAAAAAAATGCCCTCAATTTCTTGCTTGATTTAAACTTCAGAAAATCATCATCAATATCAATCTTAAATACTTCTCTTATTTTATTAAAATTATGCATTGATTATTATTATTACCAACAGGAAAAGGTCTTAGACTACCAGATCAATGTTTTAGACTTCATCAGATATGAACTGAACAGGTTACCTGACAGGTCCTCAGTAGAAGACTGGTTGATCTTACTGAAGCTACTGGAGTCATTACTACGACATCCAGAGCTTGGGTTTGTGCCAATGTTTCCATCTGCCTCATTCTGAGACCTAAAAACACAGGGGTTAAAAATAAAAAAAGATGTCCTTCATATAGATGCATACATATTTTCTGTGACATTCTAGTCAGCAGACGTCATGGCCTGACTAAAGGAATCCTTTATGGAAAACAAACACAGGTCTGTTTCAGAGGAAATACCAGTCAAACGCTTCACAGCTGAGCCTGACGGGGAGTCGATACACATGTGAGCACACATGCACACTTACTAGAGCCATTCTCATAAACTAAACACAAATAGTAGAGTACAGTTCTGCTTTGCCATGAGTTTGGCACTTTATCTAATATGTACAGTAATACATGCATAAAGATTTCACTCTTTTTTTTTTACAGTACAAAACTATACCAACTTATGCTATGTTGTTATTAAGGTGTTCTACATGGTTTTTAGCATGAAGGCATGTGATTGTATGGATGTTTTGGGTGGTTGTCAGGAGGTTGCTATGCAGTTGTCAAGGTGCTGTGAGAGATTTTAAGCAAATTGCTATGTGGTTGCTGGGTTTTTGGTCATTACTAGCAATGATATTTTAATATTATTTATATACTATTATAGTATTTATTCATATTTTGAATTAGCTTACACTTCTAAATCTTCAGTATTCATTTTAATTTTAGTTCACGTTTTAGTAATTTGTCACTTTATTAGCTTTTTAAAAAGATTTCTATTTAACCTATTTAGTCTTTTTATTGTTTTAATTCTAGTAATTTCAGTATTTCAGATTAAACATTTTATTTTAGTTAGTTGCCAAGGTAACATTTGTTATACCATTTTTTCAGATATTTCTATTTAGATTTATTTATTTATTTTTATATCAGTTTTATTTTATTTCAGTTTATTTTACATTTTTTATTTAGTTTTAGTTAACAATAATAACACTGGTTACTTGGTGGTTGCTTACTGGTCCAAGTCGAATGAGCCCCTTATGATCTCTAGATCTGGCTCGAGCCTCTCCTTCGATCTAAAGCTTCAGTTGAAAATCCCAATAAGAGTCTCACCTGTACATGAAGGGTGCTACGGTGGCTGTGTTGGGGTGGCTGTACTGCTGCTGGGGTTGAGGCAGCTGCACACTGACTGTGTTGCTGGCTGTAGAATGTGTTCCATTGGCCAACGGGGCGGCGCTGTGGTGTCCTTTCCCCTCAGTGGAAGCCAGGCTGGAAGAGGACGAGGAATGCCGGCTGTCCCTATGAAGTCCCAGACCCTCTCCCAGACGCATACTGCGGGGCCTCTCATTGTCTTTACCACCGAGGGGCAACGCTGAACTCTTTACTGCTCCATTTCCTGAGTTTTTACTTCCTGGTTTTGGAATTCCGCTTTGCACAGGGGCGGAGCTATCTTTCTTGGTACCTCCCACCTTGCCGCCTTTGGGTATAAAGCTGGCGATCCTGGAGGCTTTCCTGGGCTCTGCCTCGGAGGGAGCAACTTTGCTTGAGGGAACAACTTCCTCCTTAACTTCCTCTTTGTTCTCTACCTTTTCCGAGGCAGGGACACGCTTTGAGCCCTCTTTCCCGTTTTTGTCTTTCTCCTTAGCTCGTTCTTTTTCCTTTTCTTTCTCTACTGATTTAGTTGAGGCTTTTTTCGCCATGAGCGCCCGGCTAAGTGTCCGCTGTGCAATGCCCTTTAACGCAATCTTTGGGCTGCTGGTTGTCATGGTAATAGCACTCGATCCATTCGTGGGTCTGACGTTACCATCCATTTCCTCAATGGGTTCTGTATTGGAACCAGCCCCGACTCTTTCTAAAACCAAAGCGGCATCTTTTCCTCCTGTTGGCGTAACGGCGCCCTCTGCTGGCGTGGATGACTTGGAGCCACCTTTGCTGTTGAAAAGTTTTAGTTTTTCCAGCATGGACTTCTGAGGCACAGCTTTTGGTGGTGGCTCTGCAGGCACGGGCTGCTTGGCTTGGAGATCTGGTTTGATGGAAAGCACCGTGGCGGGAGCGGTGGAGGTAGCAGTGTGCTTGGTGCTCTGAGATTTGCTTCTCCAGGGTTTGCTACTCGAGTTGGGCTGGGGGATGGCTGACGATGAAGATGAAGATGCCACAGTGCTGGTGCTAACAGAGGTGCAGGCGGATGCCAGGGATGACAGAGTGTGCTCAGTCATGCCGTGTGAGGTGACACACTCTGATGATTCTGGAGAGGAAAAGAGACAGGTTAAAATAATCATGGAGAAAGTTGGACTGCATATGTGGGAGAAGGAGTTAACAGCAGTTCACAGCAAACTACACATGGAATCATCAAATTCGTTTTTTTTTTTTTTTTAAATACTTTAAATCTGAAATTGAATTAAAATCATATTTTGAATCTGCTTAAAATCAGAAATGTGTTTTAGTTTGAATGGTCCAATGTTATTTTAGTTTATATACTATTATACAACAGTTCGTTCTGGTTCTCAAATCTGATTGGTTGAGAATCGTGAGATATTATACTGGTATCGCAACAGGAACGCCCTTTCACAATTTTGTATCACTCTGCTTGTTCTAGCCGGGTCTATGTTTTTTTTTTAATTATTCACTGAGCTAATCGTAGAGTACGTTAGTTAATATAAGAAGAAACAAAGATGGCAAACGACACATTAACTACGAAAGCTCAACAGACGATGAAGATGCAGGGGAATCACTAACAGGCCAAACAGCAAGAAGTGCAGCCATTACACCTGCAGATTTGAACAATTTAGAAAAAACCAGACATGAAAATAACACGGTGCGGCAAACAGTGTGGGCTGTGAACTGTTTTAAATCATGGTTATCCGAAAAAAAGCTCAATATCGACCTCAAACATATCGAGAAATCCCAAATGAGCTCAGTTTTGCGTGATTTCTATGGCTCCATTAGGACCAGTAAAGGAGAACTGTATGGTATCAGCAGTTACTTGAGTCTTCGATCGGCGCTGAATCGCCACATTAATGAACCTCCTCTTAGCTGTGCATGGAATTTAATGCAAGACCCTGAGTTTACGTCCGCCAAAAACTTTTTTAAAGGAGTTGATCACACTACCCTCCGATTTCATCTGAAGACCAGCAAATACTGAAGCGATCTGCTGCACTTGACCCTGGCAACCAGAAAGGTTTATTAAACAAGTTGTGGTATGACATTCAGTTACACTTTGCACGAAGAGGGAAGGAGGGCAATCGACAACTTATGCCAGACTCGTTTGAACTAAAGAGAGACGAAAATGGTTCAAAATATTTCACGTTGACATCTAATGAGGAAACGAAAAACCACAAAAACCCACTGGAGGTCGACAGGGAAAATCGGAGGGGCGCTATGTTTGAAGAGTCCAGTAACCCCATGTGCCCAGTTTCTTCGCTAGAGAAATATCTCAGCAAACTCCCACCTGACGCAAAAGCACTCTATCTGCACCCTAAGAGGAGATTTGAAGCTAAAGACAAGATATGGTATAGCACTGTTCCTTTGGGCATTAATCAGCTGTCACAAATGCTCCCGAGAATGTGCAAAGAAGCTGGGACGTGATCGTCCTACACGAACCACAGCATCAGGGCCACTGCAATCCAAAAATTGTCTGATGCAGGGCTCCAAGCGAGAGAAATCATAGCCGTCAGCGGACACAGGTATGTTTCTGATTTGTTTAACCCATAGCCTACAGTGGAAATGAAATGATGCAAAATTAATTGAATTAATTTCTAATTTAAAACATTTTTTTAGGTCAGAAAGCTCACTGAAATCCTACTGGAGACCATCACTAAACAACAGAAAATGCTGGAGTGCAGTACTAGCATCAGATCAAACGGAAACCATACCAGAAAAACAACAAAGAACAACAAAGACTTTATCTCCGAATAACTATTTAGCGGGATGTACGATATACGCCAACGTACAAATAAATGTGAACAGTGGTTCCGAGAACCATCACTCGCTGTAAATCAGAAATGTAATAGATTTTGAGCACATTGTAATTGTTTAATGAAAAACAAAAATACATAAATAATATATTTTATGATATGCTTATGACATTTTTTTTTTGTAAAATAAAATAAACCTGACTTTGAGATAAAAAAAAAAAACGTAGGAACAAAAAATATATAAATATCTATTTTATGTTATGAAATGCTGATTACTTTTTTGAGGGAAAAATATCAGTTGTTTAACTTATTAACTAGCCTTTTTGTATAAATGTTAATGTTGCGTAAGATGCTGGAAATGTATACTTATTTGTTTTAACTGCACGCAATGGTTTGACTAAACTAATAAAAATGTTTGTCAAGTCAGACCTATAAATCTGAAAATAAAAACGCATGCACATTAATCAGTCTAGCATCGCGGTCTCTCTCTCTCTAATTCGGATGCAGGTCTTGCAGCATTGTTTCTCTCTTATAACCTCATTATTTCTCACTAATAACCTAACTGAAGCAGCACATGCCCTTGATACGAATTCTAAAAGTGACGTATGTTTAACTGTCAACTTGAGCTTTGAATCCGTGGCAGAAGGAAGTAGTTCCGCACAAAAGGCACTCCGTTGTTTCTTGTTTAATTACACACATTCCGTCGAACTGTTGTATAAACGCAATATCACTCTCGTACTCGAACGATACCGGCTCTATATCAGCGGCTGTGATTGCCTGCGGCCTCATGCCTCTGGCCTAATCACAGCCATGCTGATATAGAGCCGGTATCGCTCGAGTACGAGAGTGATTTTGCTCATATATATTTGTTCATATTTTTAATTTTGTTTTGTTTTCTTTTCTTTTCTCATTTATTTAACCAGGAAGGTCCCATTGAAATAAAATATATTTTCTTCCGGAGTGTCCTGGTCAAGATGGGCAGCAAAATGAAAGAAAAAAAAAAACATAACATATGAAATACATGAAAACCACACAGCAAGGGAACACAAAATATACCAAAAAATAATAATAATAATTAACATTGTTCTATAAAAATGGGCAGGTCAAGAGATGGTTTATATTCCATGTTTAGTATTAATTTTAGGGTTTTTTTTATGCACTTCTCTCTTTTTTGTGTTCTTTTTAACATTCCATTTAACTTTAATCTATTTTTATTTCACTTTTAATAATCTTACTACTTAAACTTTATTCAGTTACATTTACATCTATGCATTTTTGCAGACACACCGCATCGATATATTTTGAAATCCAATTAAAATCTCATTTTTGCGAGTCAAATAGTCTGATCAGATTTCATGTGGTTTTTCATCATTACGGAACACATAACATCATATATGAGAAAGACATGTATGCTGACACATACATCATTACTATAGTAACAGATACAACAACACTGATGAACAGTCAGCCCTAAAAATCTGATCTGAAAACCAAATGGATGTTGTGGAAGAAGAACATTTAAGGGAAATAAGAGTGAAAATTAAAGTAGATTAAATCAAAGGCTAAAAAAAAAAAACAGGAGAAAAGGTCTGAAAGTTTTGAAACTGTTCTCCCTGCCCATAAAAGGCTAGTTACTCCTGAGCTAATGCTATTCTTATAGTAAGCAGCAGACAGCCCGCTGAGATCGATTCTAAACGGTTTACACTAACACAGCGAGTAAGACTTTAATGCCCATTCAAACACTGGAGGCCAAATTTAGCTATTGTGCTCTCTGTGACATAGACAATCAAAAATTCCTTTAAATAACTGACATGAAGATACAAACACAATCATACAAAAACTGAAATATTATTAAAGAATGAAAATCTATAAATAGCCAGTGTAAATTGATTAAATAAACAGATGTGCATTTTAGCACAGAGTTATAAATAAGTCCTTGAAAACAAATGGTAAATTTAGCCAAACCTTGCAGAATGACATGTATTGTTCACTTGAAACATTCCAAAAGTGTAAATTATAATCATGAAAAAAACAAACAAACTGAAAATGTTCCTCTCCACTGCAGTAAAAAAGGCTGTTTACAAAAAAGCAAAGAAAAACATAAAAATGAAAATGAAATCAGCATGTTATCTGTCTCTCATTCACCTGGCAGCTCCATTTGTTAAAGTGAGCTGGTTTCACGTCAGTCCAGCCTGTAGAGTCTCAGTAGCCGTGTTCACTCTCAGGATATACACTGCAAATACAACTCTAACTGCAAACATTGGCGAGTTCTCCCTGTGTCCAGCCCCCTCCCTCTGAGCCTCTAGATCACGCTCAACACATTCACTCTGTCAGTCGGCCAGTGGTCCAATCCCAGAAAAAAAAGACCTGAAGTGCCCAAAAACTCTAAACGAAACTCTAAAAACATCTGAGCATATACTAATGCTGCACATTTCAAATGAGATGTAGCAGAACAGATATAACAAACCTATAGATTTATCCCACTGAATGCCTAGTTGGAGTACCGGATGTTTCTCACAGATACTTTATGTGCCGTTTATTCAGATTTATATCATTTTAAACAGAGCAAAATATTATTTGACAAAATATCAGCTACAAACTTTTGGCAAGCACTTAAGTTAAGACTGAATGTAAAGGCTTTGCTAGCCAATTCTGACTAAAAATCAACTGATTACACTCAAACGTTTTATTATTTTTCAGGTTCAGCGTTTATTTTTTTATCTGTATGTTTTATTAAACAATCTGACATGAGGGGAAAAACACCATTCCCATCTCATTCAGTTTTGCATTTAATGAGCGGCACAGAAACAAAGCGGCAATTAGGAAGTGATTAAGGTCCAATTAGCCATGCCAGCCAGAGAGAAGTGGGTCAGACCACTAATGACTTCCAATAGGTAGAGAGAGGAAAGAGAGGGGCCGAGAAGGGGATAGGTCGGGGGAAAAAAAAGACCTTAGTTATAGAGATGAAAGTTGAGAGAGAGAAAAAGCTGAGCAGTTGCTGTCCAGAAACAGACCATATGACAATGAACTGCAAAACTTTAGGCAGAAATAATCTCGCTGTCGCCCTCATATCATTAGGAAACTCTAGAGCAACTTACTACCCTCAGGGTTTGTGGCCCCTCTCAGTTCCTCTTAATGTCCATATTTAAGTGATTATTTCTCCACGGTAGAATAACAGCTGTCATTAGTCTCAGATGACCACCCCATGAGAGCCCACCAATAAACTCATCATGCCTGTTTCATACTGCACCTTGACAGGTTTTTTTTTTCCCTCTGTTATTGAACACAGTCATGTTTACATGCACAAGAAAATTCCAATTGTTATTGGTCATATTGAGATCTTGTAATCATCATTTAAACATGCCTAATATTTCAATAATCCAACATTATACACAAATACAGCAATTGCTGTAAATAAAGGCTTAAACAGAATATGAACCATAAGGCAATAGTTCACCCAAAAATGAACATTTTACTCATCTTCATGTTGTTCCAAACCTGTATTCACCTTCTTTCATCTAAGGAACACAGAAGAGTATATTTTGAATAATATTGATAAGAAAACAGTTTCAGTTCCCATTGCATTTCCACTGTTTTTTTTATGAAAGTCAATGGGAATCAATAGGGAACTGTCTGGTCACCAACATTCTATAAAATAGATTTTTTTCTCATGTTCCACAGAAGAAAGAAAGTCAGACAGGTTTGGAACAACATGAGGCTGAGTAAACAATTGATGGAAAAATACAATAAAACTGCACAAAATTGCATAAATCACAACTATACAAATACAACTGTTTACATCAGTGAATTTAAACTTCCTTACCGGTCTAGAAAATTGATTTCAAACTCTAAAAGCACATAAAAGGCAAGTTTTTTCTTGCCTGCTTTAAAATTTTGAAACTGTAAATCTCTTCCCAACGCTCTCTTGACTTATGTCATCTCAGATGAGGCTTGTATCTGTTTCAACAGTGACAAAATGATGGCACACACACAGAAGAGTTGTGCTCCTTTGCTCTGTGATTCACATTCTCACTCTGCTTTGCATTAAGCAGGTCACACACAAAATAACAGAGCTAAATGCATTATGGGAGAATCAGTCGGCTGACACCATTTACTAACTTTCACTGTCACAAGACCAAAACATCTGAACTCTTCAACTGCTTCAAAAGTCAGATTATTCAAGAAAATACTCTTAACAAGTGAACATGGGCATACAGTTTGAATACATACATTTTTTCTGCTTTGAATTTTTTTTCTTTCAAATGCTTCACTCAATTTAATACGTAGGAATATGTACACAACATACAGTGGAAAAACAGAATAAATTGCCTAAAGCATGACACTGTGGAAACCTCCGTCTCTCTCTGTCTCTCTTTCACTGCCACCACATTCTCAGAGCCAAAACACACTAATTAGGGCTCAATTAATGTAGAAATTTCCTTCGCTTCGCTCACTCTGCTTTGAAAGCCAGTACCACACACACACACACACGTACGGCAACATCTTTCAAACATCTCAGCTAGGGTTTGTGTGACTAGCTTCACTCAGAGTCATTATAAGCAGTTATTTCCAGCACTGACTGCTACATTAACTACTCTAAACTCAGCACAGCTCCGTCACAGAGCACAGAAATGTGGTTGGTACGTTTTAACACAGTGACCGCTTAAAGTCAACATGAACTCAAAATTGACCCGGTTTATCTCATGGTGCATAATGCATCAGTGCACGTTACTCCAGAAAATGATTAAAATGCAATACCTTCCTCTAGAAAGTTAACTTTTGTTTTCTGCTGACTTCATATAGGCCATGTGGGCTACTGGATAATGTTAACCAAGAGCCAAATTTTACATCTAGACATTGTTCTTGTAAATGCACAAAATGATATACGGTACAGTACCATTCAAAAGGGGTTGGTAAACATTTTTTTTGAATAAGACGACGACGTTTATGAAGTCTCACTAAGACTGCATTTATTTAATCTAAAATACAAAAAAAAAAAAAATGGAACACTGTGAAATATTTTTACAATTTAAAAGAACTGTTTTCTATTTTAATACATTTTAAAATTGTATTTATTCCTGTGATGGCAAAGCTACATTTTTCAGTCCCCAGGGTCACATGATCCTTCAGATGCTGATTTGAACATTTCTCATTATTATCCATGTTAAAAACAGTTAAGCTGCTTATTATTTTTTGTGTATAACATGTTTTTTCAGGATTCTTTGATGAACAGAAAGTTCAAAAGAACATTATAAATGTCTTTACTGTGACTTCAATTTCAATTTAATACAATTTAATGCATCTTTGCAGAATAAAAGTACTAATATCGATTAAAAAAAAAATCTTACACACACCAAACATTTGAAAGGATGTGTACATGCACACAGTCCACAGAGTAAATAAAGACTAGCTCCATAACTTTTACTTTAAATGGACTGAAGAAGACTGCACCATTACTGTTTAAAATACAAATGACAAAAGAAATTTAATTCGAAGAAAGAAACCATAAACATATTACCTCATTCATATCACAAATCTTGCCCTACATAGCTAAAACATGAGACACAGTTTTCTTCCAGTCCTTTGAAATCTTTCCTTAGACTATCTTTTTTATTATCTTTTTCTTTAAACATTGCCAGGGGCTGCAGCTAGTCAGCATTTTTTGAATAAATAAAATACAGAATATTGACACTTTTTTTTCCCCCTGGCATGATAAAATTACAGATAATATATAAACTGGAAGGACACTGTAGAGATAAATGTGTTCAAATCTGTCAGAGGGAAACTCTTTTATATTGACAAGCCGACTGTAACACAAAATCATTTTTAATGAAATCTTGACCTGCCATTTTCAGATGAGATTATGAGTAATGTTTCAATTCAGAGGTCACTTCACCTTAAAGACTGTGAAGTTGGGCTTACCTTTGGCCGGAGCTGCTGCAGGTTTGGCTTTATCACTGAACACCTGACTGCGGCGATTCCCTGCTGAACTGATGGACCCTCGAGGAGAACTCTCACTGCCCGCAGTGGACATCCTCGAGGTGGGGCCAGGTAATCTGTCACAGCGAGAGAGCAGAAATATCAACAGCAAGATTCTTACATTTTCTGAAGAAAATGTGTGTGCTCCTTGCCGGTGCAGAACTTGTGTTCAGGTGTTGCTGGTGCTTGCCAGGGGGTTGCTAATGCATTCTGAGTGGTTGCTAGATGTCCGTTTAATGCCTAAAGAGTTTTTTATTTAAAAAAAAAAAAAAAAACGAATGTTTGTGCCTTTCTCAGGGTCTCTTGCTCTAGAATCAGCCTTGTTCAATTCAATCCCAGTTAATAAAGCTGAAAAAAAAAAAAACCCATCTCCTCTCCCCAACAGCAAAAACACTTTAAATTGCTTTGGTGCGGTTTTTTATTTACACAAAGTGACAGAGGATCTACTCAATACATCAATAGTGAATCCCTCCAGCAGAACCACTTAGGTAGCAAATAGTATTTTGTGCTTGTAAGCAATGCAACAATTAATAACCCTTAGTCAACAATGTATTTATTTCTAATGTGACATTTCTCCATCAGTCCTAGCCTTCAATGCCTTCATGACTGACAGACAAATAGACTAATCTCACCTAACAATCAAGTCTAGGTAAATGCCATGTCAATGCCATGTAAAATACAAGGACATCTGTAGTGACCTATGCTAATCACATTGCTGTCTATTGTGTGGCCTTGACATTTTCTCATAAGTATGGAAAATAGTAATGTGGTAGAGAGATATTTTTCCTCTCTCTTTATTTTCCTTCATACATCTCATATCTGCAGAAGGCTTATCTGCAATTATAACTATCCACCATTAGATGGCAATATTGTGTCACGTGTTGCCAAAAATGAATGGTGGAAAATTGTAGACTGGACCAATATTCAAACTGGGAATTTTGAATAAGGTGATTCATAGTATTTTTAGTGTAGTTATCTGAAACACATTACACGTTTGCATTTGAAATGCATTTACAGCACTTGGTAACTGAAGGCACGAACACATCATTCACTGAAACCAAAATTACAACCTCAACCTTTCTATCACACACACCACAATTAATAATTAATCTCATACTCAAGCAGGGCATCACACAGAGCGGTTATTTTAAAGTTATCACAGCTCACTGCGCAGACATTTCCACTGGGATATGTTTTTGGGTAACGTTATCTGACAGAGTCCACATATTCTGTCTGGCCAAATAAATTCAAGGAAAAGTTCACCAGGATAGGTATTTTTTTTCTTTCTTACTTTCTTTTTTATATTTTAAATAAAACTGGTTTTATTCATCAATTTAATAGGTGTCTCTTTCTAACAGTATATCCGTTAAATAAAATAAATAGATATCTATTAAATATATACATGCATTATAAAGTTATTCATATTATCAACTGCACTCTGTTATACATTTTCTTTAAATCACTGTAACCACAGTTAAAATACTTAATAATTTTTTGCTTTATAATAACCAAAAAATACTTTATTATACACATTCAAGTGCACAAAAATTATCTATATGCTTTAAACAGTGTAATGCACTAATGCCAACATATGACAACAGATGATAAAACACCTGAAATATGGTGTAATTAGTGCAGTACACTCTTTATTTTAAGTTATAACTGTTATCACAGTTATTTATGAGATTAGAACTGTAAAGCATTATTGAAGTAAGAATGGATATTTTATAATGTATAATACATATAGTCAAATAACAATAATAATTATTTAATACTATTTAATTAAAATAATATTGTATTGTGCAGCCAGTTCGAATAATTGAGTTTCACAGAACAATCTTGTACATACATGAGTAGATTTAGACCACAAAAATCACATGCAGAGAGTAAGTGAGGAAGAGGAGGGTGATGACGAGCAGGTTGACAGGAGAGGAAATACACGAGAGCACAGGACAGGAGTGAGAGCGCTACCTAGAAGACTTTTTCTGACCAATGGAAAACTTGAGTTTACTCTGAGAGCCATCCCTAGATCGAAAGAACAAGAGAAACAAGAGGAGAAAGAGAGATAGAGAGAGAGACAGACAAACACAGACAGTGATGACTAACACAACATCACACAATCACAAAGCTAAGAGAATGAAGACACATTCAGAGAGACAGACTGCTTCAAATCAATCCACAATCTATATAACATATGTACATTAGATAGAACGGTAGAACATTATAGATAGAATGATAGAACGATAGAAAGCTAAATAGAATGCTAGATAGAACACTAGGTAGACAGACAGACAGACAGACCGAGATAGATAGACAGATAGACAGATAGATAGATAGACAGATAGATAGATAGACAGACAGACAGACAGACAGACAGACAGAC